TCAAACTAAATTTATGGTATTTGGGAATCGTAGACTAGATAATGAACTTCAATTGAAAATTGGGGGAGCTAATATAGAACGAGTATATGAAATTAAATTTCTAGGTGTCATAGTTGATGACAAATTCTCCTGGAAATCTCATATCAGATATGTTCAGCACAAAATAGCAAAGAATATATCGATATTGGCAAGGGTTAGATATATTTTGGACGGGAAAGCACTACGCATTTTGTATTCTTCATTGATTTTACCATACTTAGAGTATGGCGTTGAAAACTGGGGAAATACATACAAAAGCTCACTTCAACCATTGTATATATTACAAAAAAGAGCAATAAGAATTGTGCATAAGATGGGGTATAGGGATCACACCAATGGAGCTTTCACACAGTCTAAATTGTTAATTTATTACCTGGTGGAATTCAAAAACTATTTAATGAAAGGGAAGGGGGATACAATTTAAGGGGTCAGTTAAATTTAAAAGTATGTGTCAATCAAGATATATGCAAGAACAGGCTTAATGATTAATTAGATGGAACATTGTGGGTGAGGTGTAAGAATGTTAACACTTTGTAATAATTCTTTAGTATATTACTTGTGTGGTGTAGAAGATAATTATTTAAGAATGTAATTATGTAAGGAATGTTAACACTTTGTAATAATTCTTTAGTATATTACTTGTGTGGTGTAGAAGAGAATTATCTATGTAGAGATACTGCTTGCAAACCAATGATGGTAAGATGATGTCATGGGGTAGGACTGGATAAGTCTGACTTCTTCCTACTCCATTCAAGCATGTAGTAGGTATAAGCTAATTGATATTGGATTAGCATTTGTTGGATATGTGTAAAATTATGTGTGTTGATATATCAACTGTCTTTACATGCTTGAAAGAATAAATAAATCAAATCAAACTCAGTCCTGACAAATTTACCTTACAACCTGATGTCATGCTAACATTTCCAAGGTGCTAATATTATTTTAACTCTGGCTTTAATCTCACCTGTCCTTTGGTTTACACAGATTAATGACAGATGTTGAAGTGGTCACTTTACCTCATTATGTGACATTTGTGGTACAGCTTGGATCTCCTAGTAGTAGCACTGTCCCACCCTCTTCTTTTGTTGGACCGTATGTTTCTTTTACAATGTCGTGCTTACTAAACCTGACCACGTAGTAAACATGTCAAAAGTCTGGGAGTACACGCACACATGGCTTGTAAAAGTAAGCCTGCAAGCCTGAAGCTGAACGTGGAAACCTGCAAAGCAGAGTTCACAGGCAAACGCCCACATGCTTATGCTTACAAAACTAAGATTAAAGCTTTGTTTTCATGCACACCCCCTGGAATGTTGTCAACAGGGTAAATTTCATAATTACCATGATTGACTTCTGAAGCAGAGATGCCCAGACTTCCCTCTCCCTAGATACTTCCTCCAGCTCCTCCGGGGGAATCCCGAGGCGTCCCCAGGCCAGCCGAGAGACATAGTCCCTCCAGCGTGTCCAGATAAACAGAGGGATATGGATGCATGGACGTGTGTGTGTGTCAGTCAGTAGTAACACATGTTGGACTAGCATGGGTCACTTCACAAATGAGCACCAAGTCAGACAAAAAGAAAAGAAAGAAAAACTGAAGTCTGGCAAAAAAAAGCTTTTGAAAAGGAGGAGAAGGAATAAGAAGAAAGTCGAACGCAGGTGCCCAGGTGCGTGTTTGTGTGTAACGGGTTCACACGCTTGATGGCACAAGCTTGGGAGTCATGTAGGGAGTCCTAGCTTTCATTTCCCTCCTTTCTGGTGACAAGCTGTTCTCAAAGAAGGCCAGGCCAAACATGAAGAAGCAGGAGACGCACAGAGAGAAAGACTGCTGAGGTAGAGGCTCTGTTTTAAGGAAGAAACTAAACACCAAAACAAGACGATGCATGCGCTCTTCAGCTGACCACTGAGCTGTTTATAGGTGCAACCTGCCTTCATGCTAACCACAGACCATCAGGAGGAGCAGGGTATGACTTCATCCTGCCCAGCATGCAACATCACAAAGGGTGCGCGTGGCATTTTGTGGCAGATGGTCAACCCCCAACACATTAAGTGACATCATCTGTCTTGCTTGAGTTCAGATGGTGAAGAACTAACATCTGCTGGAAACCTGTGCTGAACCTCTGTAAGGATAAAACCTACAGTAGGGCACAGAGTTGCTGAAGTACTTAGCTGAGCTAGCTGGCTCAGCACAGCGGTCCCAGGGCGAAAGCCCAACAAGCAAATGTGTGACTAAACTTTGAATAAACGTCAGTGACTCTCATGGGAGGTGGAGCAGGAGGTTGGGAGTTGAGGAGACAGCAGAGCACACCTACACTTGTCTTGCCATCACTCTTCTCATCCTCTCTTGCTAACACACTCTGACACAAAATAGCGAGTGAGAGACAGTGAATAACATAAAACAGGGCAAGTCAGTCAAGAGATTATGGGTCTAATATATACTATATCTTTATACTATATAACCTATAGCAACAAAATTTTTGTATATTTTTATCACATTTTTGGTGGATGTTGCATATATTCATACAGTTGTTTATATACGTTTGTCATTAACTGTTTTATGCTAGGCATTTTGGTCAAGGTTAATCCTGAAAAATAGATTTTAAGTTCAATGAGATTTACACCTAGTTAAATAAATTAAAATACTAGCTCTGGTTTACTCATTACAATCGTGACAACCCACTAATAGACTTACAGTAGTACACGCCATATACTTTTTTTTATTATTGTTTATAGGGGCAAGTACAGTACATAAGCTAAGCTAAATGGCTGCTGGTCGTTAGCTTTATATTTAGCAAACAGATGTATCAATCCTTTCATGAAACTCTCAACAAGACAAAGTGGCCTCTTACCAATTTATATTCTCCTCTGTCATACAGTAATTACACAATGTTTAAATGAGCCAGAGTCTTCGTCTGTACGTTTTCCAGGACACGTGGAAAACTTTACCGTTACATGTTGTGCATCTTTCCAACTGTGTCACAAAAGGATCAGTGTAACCTTGAGCCTGACATTCACAATAATCTCTGTTCTTGTTTTTTTTTTTTCCTCCATAGCAAGTGATTGCCTGGAAGCTTTCCCATGCAAAACTGACTCAGTTCTCAGTTGTCAAGAGGAAACTCTGTTTGTATACATCAAAAGGGACAAACATGTCCTTTTGATCACCAGAAACCTTTTTATACATGCCCAGAAAATCAAGTCATTTTTATACACAGACTGGAATCGCCCACATACACATTAGTGATCTATTAGGTGCATGCATATATAATAAAAGCAGTCTAACATGACGACCTGGCAATAAAACCTATATAATGTTAGGTTTTGTGGAAACTGTCTTCTCCCTCATTATTATAATGAGGGTAGGCAACTGTCACAGCTATTCTACCTAATGTCTTTTCAGCTGCTAGAGAATCTAGTGAGACATAAAACAAACTGACACCATAAGCCACTCTTAACAGCTCTCTGCCCCGCCCATCACATTCCGTCTCCCGGCAACAACATAAACTGCGGATGCCTGGAAGTGATGAATCACACAAAATGCAACCACCAGGCCGAATCTAGTGTTGGCTGATTAATGAGTAAATCTGACAAACTAGTAGAACATTCCGGTTACTGCTAATGTGACGCTAAGCGCCAACGTTACACGAAGATCGAACATCTCCCAAATTAAAATTAATTCAATACAAAGGTAAAAATCACGACCATGCTAGGTCGCTAATGTTAGCAACAAAGACACATTAGCTTTAGATGGTAAAGCACCCAGAAGTAAGAATCAAACATGAGTCCTTTAACTCTCTCCATCTTAAAAAGCCAAACAGATGTTAAACATGGATTTTGCTCTTTCTTTGTCGCACTGTCTCTGTGCAAAAGAACATGAGCTCTTCAGTTTGACAGACACCGTTTCATACTTCAGCTGCTGAGAGCTCCTCCATGGCTGTTTGAAATTACTACTCGCAGTTTGAAAAACACTTCTTCTAACCTTTTCTAGGTGGCAGGCGGGGCTAATTTACGGACCTCATTTTAACAACGCAGGGTAGAGAAGCTGGAATAACAAAAGGGCTGCAAAAGGCAGTGTCATTTGGGGGGTAGGACAGCAGAGAGACACCACATCCTGTCCCATTTTCACTTAATTTATCAGACAATGTGTAAAATCTTATTTAGTGCAAAGTAGGATTTATCGCACGGCTATTGTAATAAATGTAGAGTATATAAAACAACAGGCATGCAGTAATTTTCACACCGGTCCCAGTTCGATAAGATATTGAGTGCTTAGCTGGTTTTATTTAAAACCAATCATGTGATTGAAACACTGTGCACCCCTCACCTCATTGTTAAAGCCTATAAAACTTAATCACAAACTAAACAGCTGACCTACAGGCCTTGGCAGTTTCAGGCCTTTTATCTGTGAGCTGTGAACAAACAGCAGGGACACCGAAACCAAGGGAGCAGGTCTCCCCCCTGTGAGGACCAACACGCCACCAGATAGATACCTTTAAAGCTCAGACAGAGAACTCCAGCAAAGCTTTGCTTGAAGGAAACGAAGACATTTCCACGGTAACAGCTCAGCTTGACAGATGAGTATTAAAGGGCTCGAGTTTGTTTGTGAGGAAAAAAACCCTCGCACCACTCACTACTAAACACCCATTTCCTGCAAGAAAATACACACATTAAAGCAGGAACTTGTCAACTACAAGACGCTAATTAGTTTTCCCTTTGCTCTTTTTGTTTCGCAGCTCTTCTGATTCCACTGTTCTTGTGAAAGATCACTCCATTCATGTCAGTTAGTCACATTCATCCATACAATGAATCTCTGCTTCAGTTATATTTAAAAAAAAACACAAAGAATATCTAGGGTGAAGAAGAGGATGAGTGCGTGCTTCTATGCATGGTCATCATTTATTTCTGGCTTTTTGTTGACAGCTGATTAGGCTGGGTAACATAGAAGTATATTGTGTGTGTGCATGTTTTACCTTGAACCTCTTGTCTTGCAAAACTTTCTTGATGGCCACCAGCTCTCCAGAGTCACAAAGTTTAGCCTGGTAGACAACACCAAAGGAGCCGTTGCCGATGACCTTGGTGTCTGTGTAGCTCACCTCCTGTGGCCGGTCGGGGCCTTGGCCTGGAGTGGCTACGACTGTTGTTACCTTGCTGCCATCCTTATCCCCTAAAGAGACAGAGAGAAAGAAACGGATGCAGGTGCTCAGAACTAAGTTGTGACATGAACAGTTTTCAGCACAGTACATCAAGACGTACTGGTTACAATTTTGGGTGAGAGAACAAACTGGGAAAAAATAAGATGTGATAGATAAGGTAATGTGAAGCATTAACATCAGAAGTATTTAACCAACAGTCCACAAAACACAAAGATATTCCATTTAAAAACACTTTAAAAAAAGAGCAAAGCAGAAAATAATCACATATGAGAAGCTGGAAAGATGCTTCATAAATTACTTTATGGGTTATTTTCTGTCACTCCACTAATACACTGATCACTAACAGGTTGTTCATGTACCAGACATTGTGACTTGTCATATCAGGAAAAGCACAGAGGTCACTAACAATGTTAATGATGGTTCTGTTCTATTCAAGTATCCCAGTAAACCACAACCGTGGGACAGCATTCACAATAGCAGGACTCTGAAACTGCAGCAACTAAACAAAACACAGCTGTTTTATTATTTACACATGCATTTCCTACCTGGACATGTCAAAATGCCTTGTGTAAGAAAAGCTTAAGTGAAGTTGCTGATTCTAATTCGTCATGTGCTGGTCATCATCTCACAGAGTCAAACCTACTGTACTTGTCCTAGAGGGCAGTTTGCAACTGACAGGTTCCTGTTTTGAGTGTCTGCTGACATAGCTGAGAAAAACAACATTATGGTCTCCATCTTTAGCTGTAACCAGTTATTTCTCAACAGATGTGGTCAGCTATGACTCAAAGCTAAACTGAAACAGACAGAAAATTGTCCTATAAACACACAAAAATGTCCCTATACACTGTATACTACTGTAGCTGTTTGAAATATGCCATTAAATACAGTATATTTCCAATGTTGAGGTCTCCTTTGGGTGGTAGGACATTAACACAAATGAAATATCTAGAGGAAACAAACTCACTTGCTATTTTCACAACTACAGACAAAAGCACACTTAAATTCTACATTTCTTGCTTGATGGTATAAATCTTTTTTTTTCCAGTGGTGCTTTTATCCAAATTAATGCATCAAAGAAATATTAGCAGCAGGCCTAGCTGTGTCTGCCCAACTCATCAATCACAAGGCTCAGACAGACCAATACCCAGGATTATTATCAGTGAAAATTTATAAGCTAATATGACCCTGTAGATTTGGGATGCTAACACACTGTATGTCGTAGTCTGCTTTCACATGTCCTGACTCCCCTCTAGTCAGTTAGGAGCTGGCTCCGCTCCTCTGAGATCATGAAGTGGAGGCCATTTTCTATTTAGGTATGGTCTCTCCCTCTGCCTCCTTCCTACCATAGTAGTGTCAAGGGTCGAAGTTTACATTAGCAGTTAAAGGACAACTAGGCAAGAATGTGTGCTGTATGAATAAGTGCTGCATCTACACATCAAGTCTTTAGGCTCTCAAATAAACCCCCAAATTTCAACACAGACCCTCCACACAACACCTGCATCCCCTCCACGCAACATCGCTACCAGGAAAATGCTTCTTTCAAACAAACTGTAGCAGCCAAAGGCTGTAAAAGGGTCAATATATCAGTCAATAGACCCATGCACCAAAATTCAAACTATCTTTGTTAAATCTGTCTGAGACAGTCAGCTACTAACATGTGTCAACAGCCCACAGACTGCATATAAAGATGGATGACATGTCACCGCTTTCTGGAAGCCAAAATATTGCGAATACGGGGGCCGCCATCTTGCTTGAGTGACAAATTTTGCAACCAGATTCTGCACAGTAGCAACCAGACACAGAGATGTGGTCTCAAGCGCTGCTTAATAACTGCAGCCTGGTGTCATTTAACAGGACTTGGTGCAGCATGCTGTGAGAGCAGACCACCTCCACACAGAGGACACTGGCATGAGCAGCGGACGTGACCATCGCATGCCAACTATCTGCCTGTGAGTATTCTGCATGTGTGTTTTAACTGAACCAGCTGCTTAGGTTACTTAACCCTGCGCAGCTTGAAATGTTTTAACCCTAGAAAGCTGGTGCTTTGAGTGAGACAGCAACACAGAGTGCAGCTGTCTACTGTTAGTCTATTATCCGTTTTCATACTTAGCAGACTGGGCTTGTTTTCATGGAAGGTTGAGTTTGACACAAATAGTGCCTTGCGTCAACACACATACCCTCACACGTGACCCCTTCAGTTTTATAGATATAGTTTATTTAGATGTATGTGTGTTACTGTTTGTGACCAGTGGGTGGTCCGATTACTGAAGAAGATGTGATTATGATCGAAGAATAAGAAGGGAGGTTGACAGAGCAGCAGGACTTACTTTCTTTTTCTAGACTGGAGAGTGTGAGGATGGATTCTACAATGACAAAAATAGACTTTCCAATGGAGTGCATGTGTGAGAGTGAGACAGGAATATAACTCTGCCTACATATTCCAGCAGGGCCATTTCTATGACGCCTCTGCACTTCCTCAAACCGTGAGAAAACTCTGTGCACACTCGCACACACACACACAAAAAAACTCACAGTGAGATCTCACACAGTTGCAAATAAGGAATGACCAAGAAATCAGAAATGGCATTTCTGTAAGTGACTGACTGGAAGTCTGTGACAAGCATAATCTTTCACACACTGATCTGGTATCGCCTAAATATCGTTTCCACTAAATTTCCAATAACCAATAAAAGAGTGTGGTTTCATGGACATATGCTGTAGTCTTCAGCTACAAAGTGAACCAGGAGAGACAGCAGGTGGTATGGAAGTAGATCCCCGCCATAAGGTTTGAGGGTGCACTAACCACACTTTGAGTGCTACTCAGTTTGCAACTCAGCATTTGAGATCGCACAGACACAGATTTGGAAGTGTAGATACTGATTTGAGAGCGTTTCCACGTCATACTTGCTCTCGTTTCTGAGTCTGCGCTCAGATTTCTCCACCAGGGTATGTGTAAAAGCCTGTCTGCGCCAAAAGTTTTGATCATGCACAAGACAAGTTGCAAGCACTCTTCATATTGCCAGTCAGACTTTGAGAGCACGGGAACAGATTTGTAAGAGCAGAATCAGAATTAAAAGCAAGAGAGGATCCTTGCTGCTCACTCAAATCATCTTACGCTCACGAATGTGGGCATCCACATTCCGACTGTCCCCATTCATGACTGGTCAACGCAGCGCCTCTGCGCTTCTGCGTCAAATAATATGTTGCTAGTAAGCTGCACTGGAGGTTTAACAAATTATATAAACAATCAGCAATGTCTTGAAACAGACAACCAGCAGAATGACAGCCTGTATCTGCTCTGAACAAGCCAACAATTTTCATTTATAACCACATTCTCTGGGTACATTCTTCCCCCTTTGGCGCTTATGCATATGTATGCTGTCTGACACAGAAGTTTAAACAAAGAAATTAATTACTAAAGTAAACTTGAATCCACTGACACAAGGAGCCACCTAATGAAATGCTACTTTGAGACACTTGCAGATTGTAGTGCTAAAATTATTTGTGTGCGTTTACTGTAGGATGACGGCTAATTTTTACACCATTCATGTCATATCACTGTGAGTGTCTGCACCTGTTACAGTGTCCATGTAGTCACTGCTCTCTGTAATTTGGCAAATAAATGCATGTAATCACTGGCATACAGAATATATTTATTAGTTGTGTGGCTACCGCAGGTCAATTATAATATCACACACACACACTGAAATTAAAAACTGAAGCCAATTACCGATACTGACAAACCCTTTTAGACATTTCAAAAGATCAAATTATGACACCATTATTATGTTAAATATATTATTGGTTCTCAGTATGTACACGCCAGCTGTGGACTACAAGTCAAAGTGACCTGTAGTCCTTTGCAAGGCCTGTATAAAGCTATTTGCTGAATTTCTCGAGAGCAAGACATTATGTACCACCAGCAAGCGCACACACACATTGTGTTAACATGTGCAGGTAAACAAGTGCAAAGTGTTCCGCTAACGTTCCACCGCTGCAAGGTTGATGAGATAACCCCGTCACAGCAATGTCACTGATGACACGGAGCAAGCTTGGCCAAGCAGCGTTTAGCGTGAGACACCAAGGTACCAGCACGTTTTTGAGCAGACACAACAGGGGTGGACAGCGGTGAACAGTGGTGTGCAGCCTGCAGAGCCGCGGCTGCTCAGTCCTGCCACCACACTGACTAAACACCCAGCAGACTGAGCAGAGACTGATTATCTTCTGGTGTCTCTTCCCCTCAAAACTCATCTCTCTTTTAAATCCTGAATGACTCAGATGGTCCTTGTCTTGTCTGAGAGTCCTGCTGTTTCATTTGGAATCAGAGAGTATAATTAGTTCATTTTGTCCCCATCATCACTTGCTAAATGTGAGAGGGACAGACAGGAAAAGGGAGAAAAGAGGGAGAGAGAGCGAGCTGCAGCTTTGAAATGCTAAACAAGCCGCTCATTGTTCTTGTCCAGCTGTCTCACCCCCAAAAAACAAAACCTAAGAGTGCTCATGTGGGTGTGTCAACGTATCTGTGTGTGTTTCCATCTGCCTATGTAGGAGCGGTATACTCTCTGCAGAATCATACACACTGGGCACAGCTGCTTGAGATTATCTGCCAAGTTATTGACTGAGAGCGTGTGTGTTGCAATGGTGGAGGTTAAAATCAAGTCACAATATTTTAAATTAGCACTTATTTTGATTATTTGGATTTCAAAAATCGATAACTGAGTTGTTCAAACACGAATCATGTTTAAGAAAAAAATGGGCTTTCCCCCCCCCAGCCTCACATGCTGCATTTACAGAGGGGTAACAAATGAAAGGAAAAACCAACATCAAGTGTCTTAGTAAGGTGCTGGGCCTCAACACTGTGACAAAACAGCTTCAATGCGCTTTGGCATTGATTCCACAAGTCTCTGGATTCAACTGGAGGAATGAATACCAAAGATATTACCCCATTTGGTGTTTCGATGATGGTGATGGAGATGGAGATGCTGTCTAACACGTCAGTCCAACATCTCCCATAAGTGTTTAACTGGGTTGAACTCTGATCACTGTGAAGGCAACGGCATATGATTCACATCATTTTCAAACTATTCACTGACTCCTGGTGCCCTGTGGATGGGGAAACTGTCGCCCTAGAAGAGACCACTCATTTAGTCAGGGTTTTCCTTTCATTTGTCACCCGTCTGTAGGTTAAACTGACGGAGGGTGATAAATGATTTCTGAAAAACATCTTTACAGATACGGTTGCCAAGAAGTAAAGGGCAGTCACTTCGCTCAGAACTGCCAAAACCTGCATATTTAAGTATAATCAACCTTTAAGTGCAAGAAAATGCAACATTTAAACTATAGTACATCACAGTCTTACAGTAGCCAAAGCCATTATCAAGTCTCATACTTCATTATTGATATTATGTCAAGGCAGTGTCTCACCCAGTTCTACATTGCAGGTCTGGTTTAAGCCAGCAAGTATAACTGCTTCCATTATGCATGTCTGTCTATCCACAAACCCAGAGGATCTGTGTCAGCCAGCCCTGAACACTGATCATTAGTTGGACACCAGGAAGAAGGAGAAGTCTGATTATTTCAACAAGTGCTATTTTGTCCTAGTCCTTAACAACAGCTTGAATGAAAACATAAACACCACACTCAATGTACTGTATTAAGAAAGCTGCCAAATTTAATCCAATGAGAGCTGGTCACCAGACAAGGTTGTCCCGGTTTCCTTGGTTTTTGGCCTATAAAGTAGACTATCCAATTACAGTCCTCTTCTAGCTGAACCAGTTGATTTCTGGCAAACTCCACTGACGTGAATAGCACAAATATGGCTGTTTATTGAAACTAATGTATCAAATAGTGAGGATGAATTGTAAAAACAGACATAAACTGGCCAATGTCACTAACACAATCAGTCTTCACAATGACAAAAAGCAGGCAAACAAAGGCACAGCTAAAGATTAATAGACTTGTGTAAATTGATGACTCTACATTTCTCCATGGGGCCCACCAGCACCTGCTTGTAAAACTCAAATAATTTAACACCCAATTAATTGAGAGATTCCCACTTCGGCCTTTAATGACATGATAATGATGTACTGACTTACCAGATGAGTCTCTTGGAGAATAACATTTTCAAATTGAGACAGCAAAACTCAGGCAACATTAAGATCACACACTGAGCCTTGCATTATCTCCTAATTACATCTCCACAATACGCCAAAGATTCTCCGTCATCCAGTTCTTACATTTAGTGGACATATTGACCAGAGCAAGTTTTTTTTTTTTTTTTTAGTGAAGTGCATTTTGCTTTCAACAGTAACACAACCATGAATGGTCCACGCTGACAGGAACACACCAGTGCTTCAATACCCATAACCGAGGCAAGAGAAGTATTGGGCTGGGGATGGGACTTTATCTCCTTGTTTGTGTGTGTGTGTGTGTGTGTGTGTGTGTGTGCGTCATAGTCAACCAAGTGGTTTCCAGTGCTAGGCCCTGAGGAGAGCTTCAGCCTCAGGCCTCACCCTACTAACACACATCCTGATCACATCGCAGCCCTGAAGCACCACAGGAACATTCCTTAACCTATCACTCACTTCTCTCACACACACACCCAAATATGTCAGGCAGAATTAGTAAGGTGCTATACAGTATCACATCTCCAGCCATTAATAATGTGGATATCATAGGTACTAATTCATTTCACTCTGCCAAAACTGTATAATAAACTCCAACCTGTGCCACGTAACTAAAGCAGACTATCAGACAAGGTAAGAGTTCATTTAAGCCATATTATTTTAATTAATACTTCTAAATGATATCTAGTCTCATAAACATAAGGTCATATGATCAGACTTTAATGGGAACACTTGAGCTAGTCATACACTATCTGCAGTCTGACAGGTAGGCAATCTGATAAAGATCGATTTTGCAAAGAGAATTTCTGACATAACAGCCACTGAGGATGGATGAATGCAATATGACTTGAAACTGTTCCAAAGAGATATGGCTATAAACCAACACTGCCAGCCACAGATGTTCAGTAGGTAGGCCTATTCAGCCACATGGCTTCATCTCTGCAGCCTGTCCATCACCGACCCCCTCCATGATGCCACTGTCACTTCGTACACAGGACGCTCTGTGCCACATTCCGTTCATTCGTGACGGCATGTGATGTCGACACGGCACCAAGAAATATGGGATCAGTTAATCAGCCCTGTCCAGGATCACGTCGGTTTCGCCCGAGTCAACTAGGGGCGCACCTTCCGCTTTGACAGTTGCGTAACAGACCGGTCTTGTCGCTTTGGCCATATTACACGTTTTTGCTAGGTGGTCATTAATCAGACTAGATCCACGTTAATGGGAGAAGCCTTGTTTTCTGGCCTGGGCCGGTGCCAACACTACCTTCCTCTGGCTCGGCCCTGCCCGGAGCGGCCTGCTAACCCTGGTCAGGCTGACCGGCCCCGGGGACGGCGCATGAGAGCACAGTGGTGTTTGCCCACACCGCAGCGAGCAGACGTGTGTATCACTCAGCACCGGCCAATCTCAGCCTGTGACACACATACATGACAGGGCTAAGCTACCCGGAGCTAACGTCATACTAGCTTGACACGTTTTCATCCTGTCAAGTGAGGAGACATTCAGCGAGGATATGAATATGTAACGTTAGCCCACACTTAGCACCCGCCTGGCGCATGCAGAGAAGGTACGCTACTCTAGAATTACAGGGCTGTACTTACTGCTGACTTTCATGCTGCCGAACGCAGATGGCTGCGGCACTGGTTTGCAGCTCTCCGCGAAGGATGTGGTCCTGGGCCGACCCGACATGATCCAATCCGTTTGATTCTCTCGACTGTGACTTGCTAAACGGCGGGGCTGATCGATTTCCCAAACCTTCTCATCCAAAACAGGATGACAGTAAATGACTAACACTAACGTTATAGTTCACAAGGAAGACAAGGCAGAAAGAGACCCCTTTCTCCCACGATCATTCACACTATTTCATATCTCCTAATAAACTACCCTTTCTTTCCCACCAACGGTCGATCAGAGCGTCATTTCTTTATATTCCAGGTTTTCTTTCAGCGGGCCTTTGAAGACACGTCTCCGTCTAAAATAGTCATGAATCTGGCCTCTCCCTGTGGCCCCCCGATTAAAACCAATAGCGGTTGCTTTCTGGAACCTGAATCAATTTGCCAGCGATGAAGAAGGGAGTTCGGTGTTATAGGTACTGATCCGGTGCAGGTCAAAGATAAATGCGGTGTTTTCTTGACGATTCGGGACACATGCAGTTCTTCATATCCCGATGTGGAGGCTCAATGATCCGACTGCCATGGCGGCTCCCTCGCTATACCCTAGCCTACAGACCATCCAACGGAAAATTTGCCAGTTGCCACAGTCTTCTTCAACCAATTCAATGGCTTTACGCTGACTCAAAATCCGCCCTCGTTGCCGTCAAATTTCGGTATCCTTACGAAGGCCCCAAGAGCAGCGAGCGCCTCAGAAAATGATGGGCTTTAAGTACAGAGAGCGACGATACTGAATTTCTTTTTTTATTCCTTCCCCATAGGTTTCGGGCTCGCTGTCTTTGTCGCTGCGCACGTTAGCTACGCCATTTCCGTAAAGGGTTGCAGGGATCACCTCGCCGCCATTACAGGAGGTTCACGATGTTGACGTAAACCGTGACAGAGAATAGAAAAACAACGTTCAAACGGAGAATCTGGGGTGGCTAATTTAGCCAATCTGAGAGGGTATCCTTCAGAAATGGGCGTTAACCGCGTTGCTGTGATCCAATAACAACGCCGCTCTTGAGCACCACATGGCATAATTTGCTTGGCACCACCCTCACGGCTTCAAAGGCTTTCCCTCATGCCGCGACAGGGACAATGGGCGTATCTGAACCCAGGAGTGATGTCTTTGTCTACCAATGGAGCTCCAAAGCCTGACTGTCATTTCAAATAGACGCAGCTGTCACAGAGTACCGGTGGTCATGCAGCACTGTTGCTATGTTAGTTGGAAAAGCCCTATCCTCTGTCTGTTCTCAACAGTGTTGCTAACATAGCGACTTTGTCGCTACATTTATAGACTTTTTAAAACCCCTTTAGCGACAAATCTAGTGACAAAATGCTTTCTCTGCAGGAGAGTAGTCAGGACTGCTTGTGAGGTCCTGCAGTCTTGCCGAAAGAGGAAACGCCCCTCTTGGCTTCTGCTCGGATGGGTGGGAGATGGGAGAGGAGCAGAGCATTCAGTCGGCTGCACTGCTACAGGCAGAGATATGAATGAGCTTGCGCATGTGCGACCCAGAGCTTGCTGACATTACTTACTGATATTACCCTACAGTTTTATATATGTTGACTGAATGGTTCATCTTTTTATAAATAACAATTTTCAGTTAACAATAACAAGTGAAAGAAATAGGCTTATTGTCGGGGCATTCATACATGTAAAAAGTTTTGGTCTATAATTGCATGTAACTATTGTTAACTACACAGTTCCCACTGCCTCAAAAAAAGCTCAGAGCATCATTAAGGACACTTCACACCCTGGACGTTCACTCTTTGAACTGCTGCCTTAGGGTAGACAGTTCAGAGCAATCAAATTAAGGACCAGTAGATTCAAGAATAGTTTTTACCCAACAGCAGTTACCACACTCAATGCTGCTAAAATATAATATGCCTGTGTGTGCTTTCGATGTCTTTCTAACTGTATCATACTGAGTGTACTTGAATTGAATCTATTATAGGTAACATCAAATTTCACACGTAAAACAGCCCACCTGTAATTAGCTTTAAATGTTAGGTCCCCTGGAGTACTTGAAGCCACAGTCATCTAGTGACTTTTCCAGCACGCTTTAGCTACTTTCCATTTAAATTAGTTAGCAACAATGCTCCTTGATGCTTTTGAATTCACACAGGTCCCTGGCACATTCATTTAATTAGTGTCATATTAGGCCTACTTGGTAATTATTACAATTACCATTACCATGTATGTGTGTGCATATGTGCTGGGCTGTCCTGTTACTACAGGACTTACTTGCTTATCCAGGTCAATTTCACATTTATATCCTTGAGTGTATTTAATGTTTTAGTTGGTCTTTTTATTGTCTGTTCTATTCTTTTAATGGGTGACTTAGAAAACTAGTACACTTTATACTTCTCCAGTGACCCAAACCCACTTGAGGTGAAGTTTATCAGAAATAATGTCCATCTATTTTTCATTGTGCAATATGTTGAATGATGTAGTCAATGTTCATGACATATTGTGTTATTTGGTAAAATAATTTATTTACTGCTTACCATTTTTATTCCACAATGCTTCAATATACTCATTGTAAACAATGCAGGTCACCTGTCTTGGCTTGGTAGGAAACTATTTTGTCCTGTACAGTGATGTTGGTATTTTGTCTTTTGTGTGGTTTATTTTTACTCTGTTATGCTGTGTATCAAAAGGAATTTCTCCCAGGCTGCGTTTCAGTGGTTCATATGCAGAATAGAAAGCAGCAGCATCTGAAAAACAGGCAGCTGTGCAGAAGTAATACAAGACTGTTTTCCCCTCATAGCAACACCATGCCCAGCAAACACACAGTTTTCAATTAGAAGAAGAAAACATTTTTTAAAAAGAGGACGTGATAGAGAGAAGGGCAAGTCAGTATAAAACAGGCATTTCATTAAAAAAACTCTGAATCTACTCTGTAGCATTTCAGCATAGACATATTAGTTGGTTTGTGGGTTTCTGGGTAAAATTGTGTGGGGGGATGTGAGAGAGTGGGGGTTAAACAGGGTCTCATTTTTGCTGCTGTGGCCCATTTGCATGTTAATCCAGGCCTGCAATGAGACAGTGGCTTATAACCTTTGTGTTTGGCTGCCCATACTGTAGTGGAGCTTTACTGTATAAAACAAGAAAAGATCCAGAATGAACATGAAGTAGTGAACCTGAGGGTCAAAGGGCAGCAGGGCACTTGCTTTCCTTCACACACGAGACACACACTTGAGATAACTGTGACCTTTACACATTAAATACTCTGAATGAATCAGGGCAACAATACTGAGAAAGTGATAGCAGTGACCTTTTTTCAGGGTGCAGTTTCTCATAAACTATCTATAGATGGAAAGTATGTGATAAATGTAGAGCATTGTATAGACAGTGTAGGACATTTGACAATTAAAGCAAAGCTCAAACAAAATGCATGCAATTCTTTACACCAAAACATCTACTAATAAATATTCAAATAAATAATGCATTAGCATAATTGCTAATATAGTGCTCATTTCAACCGTTCTATAAAACCCTTTAATTTTGCTTACTTTTTTATTAGTTAGGCTAAATGTCAGACAGTCTTTGAATGTAATGGTTTTCACCTAGCTGTAGACATATACAAATAAGGCCATAAGGTATTTAAAAAAAACAGTACTGTCTGGTTTTGAGCTGCAAATGCTTTCACAAATCTGTCGTGTAAAAGAGCCACTGTGTCCACAAAGCAAGATTCAAGAACATCAACCTTCTCTTCATACAGAATACTAAATACATTCCTACTGAAAGCTGCAGTCAAATGATCTCCCATTATAAATGCACATTAGCTTTTGCACACTGAACCTTGTTTATCCTTATAGCTAATTTTCTTCATGAATTCAAGTGGTGGAAATGGATTAACCTGTAAAGTGCAGCAAACCTATGCTCATACAAAGGTGGGTTTGAGGTCTTCTTTGAATACCACAGGGTGTGGGGTGCGATAAAGGCTGGCGTAGCCTTCGTACTCGCTGTCAGAAGAGTCTGACGAGCTGCCTGAGGACAAGAGTGAGTCCTGCTGCCCGCAGGAGGCACAGTAAGGACGGTGGTAGTAGCAATAATCTGTTGAGCTGCTAGAATCTGAGTCCCAGTACCCACAGGAGTTTCGAATGTGTCTATGGTGCTGCTCATCATCACTGCCTGCTTCCACATCAGGTGGAACTGCGTGATCGTGTTCTGCACAGTGCAAGACTGCACATCTGTGACATTTTGAAACACACTGTCTTATCACACCATGCCCCTCTGCTTCCTCATCCTGCTCCCCCTCCAGCTCAAGCTTGCGGTTGTTAACCTGGAGGAGAGTAACATCTACAGTGACACCATCAGGATATTTGCCTGGGTGTTGGCATTTGATTTCCCTTTTCTTGCCACAACCTCTGTAGAAGCAAGGAAGGGTCAAACCTCTTCCGGATGAGCGGAAAGGTGGCCGACGTTTTCTCATTGTATAGGGGGAGATGCAGGGATGTACAGGAGGTGGATGAGGGGAGCGTGGGGTCCTCAGGGAGAAAGGAGAGTGTGTGGAGGTTTCTGTAAATTTTAGCTCAGAGGGCACCCTGGCTGTGGATTCCATGACAGCATCCACACTCAGCTCGTGAAGGATTTCCTGCAACTGTTCACTGCTAACAAAACCAGTCAGTCTGGTATTTCGTCCCAGATAAGATGGTAGATCACTGTGTTTGCCACAAGGTTCAACCTGAAAGGAGTTTAACCCCCTAGGGCATTGTAGAGAGGTGGCAAACTTAACTGTCTCCTTTATTGTCCCGTGTAATTCACAGGATGGGAAGGATGTGGGTTGTTTGAGATCCTCCCTCTTTCTGGACTCAGCTGTGTCTCTGTCTATAGGACCGGGGACAGAACTGCTCTGGTTTTCACCCAGATACATATCATGAGGGAGAGAAGAAGCGGTAATGAGATCTGAGGAGTTCGGAGCAGTGGGATACTCAGACAATGTAACAGCAGCAACAGTGAGATGAGGGGTTGAGAGTTCACATTTAGTGTCTCTCTGAGGAAGAGAAGAAGAACAGGGTGCATCAGACTGCACCTCAGTGGTCTGAGTGGAGGAGGAGTTGAGGTTGGTGGCAGAGGAGTCTATATCTGGGTCCTCGGGCGGCTGGCTGGCAGACATGAGTCGGAGGAGTTTATCCTTGGCGTTGTTTACCTGCTCCTGGAGACTGTCAATCACAGCATTCTTCTGGAAATTGTAAAGACAAACACTAGAGAAAACACAAACAATGCTGGTAGAGCAATTTGCCTTTAGATAAAATTAGTATTTCCTGGATGTGGAGACAAACAGCATAGTCGAGCTCTGGGAGAGAAGTGTGAACATACAATGAAACAAAACATCTCAGCCAATTTTCAAACACATGACTACAGTTGAATTGCAGTTGACAGAGACACCCTTCTCTCTAAAAAGGCAGAAGATCAAAAAGCAAAATCTGTCAGGCAACATCTTTTTAAGGGATTATTGCCAGTTAGAGATCATGATTTCCTTCTATTGGCTTTAGCTGAAAAGGCTTTATGTCTAAACTACTTATAAAGCTTTGGAAGTTTTACTTTATATCTGAAAAATGATTCAAGTTTTGACCCATTGGTGGTGCCAGAGGAAATGTTTATTAGGATTCACCCTCTGGGGACCACGAAAAATATGTTTGCACCAACTCTATTATCTGTCTTATATAAGATTTTCATATTAAATAGTAGATAGTCCTCTAAAAGAGTGATGTAGTACCTCATTAAGGAGCTTTTTCATGGAGTTGTTCTCCCCCACCAGGCAGTAGATCTCATCCTGGCTGTACACAGATGGCTGGCTCTTACTGGGGCTGCTGAAATACTTTGCCATCTGACTTAGGTTGTTCTGTTCCTCTTCAAATTGCCGCCACTGGGTGAGCTGCATGGTGTTAGTGGGCAGAATTAAAAAAAAATGATATTACATTAGCTTTCAGCTGTTGTACTATTGTGTTTCAGCTATTTGATACACACATAATTTGACATGGAATCTTTTGATGCGTTTTGAGTGCATTGCTTATTATTCAAATAGTTCCTTCCTCTCTGCTAGAGATGCATTCCTTTATTGTAACACAAACCCACTGCCAGACACTGAGAAAGTCATAAATGTGTTTGCAGCAACCTACGTAACTTTGACTCATAAACACCTTCCATGTGAGTCACACTCCACTGATAGACATGACAAGCTGACCCGCATATGGAAAATAGATGTGCGGGCACCGTGATCACTTATAATTTACTACTTTTGTCACAACAAAGAGATAGTCATACATGTATCTGTCATTCATATTTTTATCTAGAGTTTTTGCCTGTATGACTGTTTTTAATGTTGGTTTTCACACATAGTATCCTATGATTAGATGACAGTTTTGGTTAACCATTTTATTACCCCTCCTTAGTGTTTTCTGTTTTTGAGATCCTACAAAGGTGTCAATGTCAGAACCAGAAACGAGATGTCAAAGGTGTTTTTCCCAAGGAAAAAAAAAAATCCAAAACTCGTAACTAGAGACAGTTTCATGCATCCTGTATGTGTACGTTGTGGCGTTGTTTTCTAACCTGAGGCACAAATAGCATGCAGTTAGTAGCCAGTGTGCAGATGAAGATGGCTCCAGCCACAGTGCTGTAGACTAGGTTGGGCCAGGCCTGCAGGAAGACGGACACAGGGACAGCTACAGCCGAAGAGAGGGTGACCAACGTGACAGCGGTTATGATGGTGGGGGACTGGTTGACGGGAGGGTGGCTGACATTGCTGGTTAGTCCAGCAAGATAAATGCCATAGAGAAGTAGACAACCCTAAAGAAAGATGCATGGAAAAAATAAAGGACAAAGAAAATGTAAAGCAACATACTGAAATCCATCCTTTTGTTGTTATGTTTGTCTTTGTTAAGTATTTGGTAACATATTTTGTCTATTGGCTTTGGATGAAAGACTAATTGTATAAAATGAACAGTAGTCCTGGGTTCAGAACTGAAAGCATGACCACAAAACTAAATATAGTTTGCTGTGGAACTTTAAATAATGATGTTAATCGAAACATGTAATCTTCATCTATTGTAATGTCTTCTGGCATGACCTTTAATGTCATTCGATACAGCAGATTTTAATCTACATATTGATTTTGATCTGTGAATGCAACAATTCTTGTTCATTTAACCATTTGTACCATTTTATATATAAGTATTTATAAGTCATGTAACTCTCAGGTATGTTATACTGTATATAAATCAACATAATGGAGGCAGTTACAGTGGTAATTTTATCATTGCATCTGAACAGAACAGAGATTACCTACCTTCTGAACAGCAATAATGATAACCCATAGATCAAAGTATACAGAGGAACAGGAGTCCAGCTGAGACAAAGAGTACGAGATGTCTCTCTCCACCACCTACATCAGAGGAGACCATAGTCTGTCAGTTAGTTAAAACCTGATTATATTTGGCTATGACACCAAAAAGGACCAATTTGTGATTGTACTGAAGTCACAAAATCAAGCTTTTTCATAGTTTCACACTAATTAAAAAGTCATAATTTGACTCCACACTTATAAAAGCAAATTGTTAAAACTTATTCTACAACATGTTGTACAGCACCATAAAGTCACCATTAAATCATACCTTGACAACAGCCCCAACAGACTGTGAACACCTGATGGGATCTGTGAGGTTCCACGCAGTGAGAACCAGCATGTCCACCAGGATCAACAGAGCCACCATGCACATCAGCTGGATGTCTCGGATGATCTGAAACACAAGGTAATCACCAATCACATCAAAAACAAACAGTACAGTCGCTCTCTGTGAGATGCCCCTGTGTTATTCAAGCCAGATACAGTAGTTCTGTGAAATCCACTGAAGAACAAATGATCCTGTAGGTAGATCTAATCTTCCATCAAAACACTCAAGAAATACATGTGCCAGATTTGTTTTATTTAAACGACTATAGTAATTAATGATGGAGTAACAAAATGTTCAAAGTTCTTGGCCAGAAATGCTTTAAAAGTTTTTTCAATCTACTCCATAACCTCTAGAGTCCCTGCGTCCTCATATGAGGACCGCACAGCTTGGGTTTCCAAAGCTCAGGACTCTAGAGGTTAAACTATTCACTTTACCCATAGTCGGTGGTATAATTTCTACTGAAATCTGTTCACACTATTTTGAGATGTCCTGCTCACTTTAAAGAAACAGATAAGTGAGGCAAATAATCGATCCTAGGTAGATGCAATAAGTAGGAAATGTCGAAGATGTCTGCTATCTTTGTTTGCTGTCTTTATTCAAATCTTTGTCACTAATAGTTCCTTTTACCCCTTTCCAAATGTCTCTGCACAGTGTAGAAAACAGCCATAATCTCACACTGTTCACCAAACAAAAACATAAAATTCACTCCTAAAGATGTTAATGTATCCACCAGAAGGCTGGAGGAGCATGCCTACCACTCTCTTGTCAGGCACTCGCTGCATGAACACTCTGTATAGTCTCCATGTCTTCCCCAAAATTGGGCCAAACACTAGCGTACTGCCGACACAAAGAGTCCACATGCGGGCCTATAGGAGAGAGCGTGGTATTATTATTTAATAATAATTCATCTGATGATATAACAAAGCATTGAAGATGCCATGGGTGCTTACTTGTAGCACAGCTGTAGATGGTCCACCATGTGAGTGTGCTCGTTCATCGACTGCAAATAGGAAGCCACTGCTATAGGTGAGGACACTTCCAAAGAGAGTCAGGACATTCAAATTGGGACTAGACATCTTCACTATCCTGATAATACGACATAAACACAATAAAACAATCAATTTCTGGAAATTCCTTTTTGTGTTTATATACTGTATGCATTTCACTTTGCGCAATACCTGTTGTTTTTGAAGCGCAAGGTAAAGAGGAGGAAGCAGAAAGCCAGCAGGATGCCACAGGAGAGCAGCGTCCACACAACAGCACTTAGCACTGGGGAGAGGGGCCGCCTTGGGAGCTCCACTGCCATCTGCACACATGCACAAATGCACATGCAAACCCCTAAAAATCATCTGGCATCTGGAATATTGCAGCTACAGCTTGTATACATCTACATTATTTGATTATCATGTACTCTATATGTGTTCTAAACTAACACTTTGGTGTAAAAGCAAAAAAAAAAAAAATCACACAGGATTCATCTGAATAAACAAAACTTTATTAAGTCCAATAGCAGTAAACATGACTATAAAGCTTTCCTAATTAAATTCATAAATGATAAAAACAGCTGAAAACATTCAAGTAGATTTTAGACGCTGACGGGTGAGATGATCAGAGGGGCGGAGTTGACGCCTCCATGATTACGTCGGGGGTTAAAGTAGGGAAAAACTCTTTCACTGAATGAGTATCCAGTGAATGAGTAGATATGAGAGGCAGAGTCTACATTGTAAAAAGAAACCTGACCCCCCTCCAGATCCACATACACCCCGACTTTCTGGGGCTTCTCAACCAGTGGCACACGGATAGGGGTGCTATTGAGTGCCCAGCAGGTCTTGTCTTTCCTCATCCCCAGGGTCCAGTACCCTCTTTCAGGATTTAGAATATTCCCTCCTTTTCTGTTGACGGATTCAAGCCCAACTCCAATATCCCACTCTGTCTTCCCTTTCACCTGGACCTCATAATAGAACCTGCCAGAGGAGAACCCCTCCTTTCCCAGAACGCTCACACCAGGGTAAAATCTTTGTGGGTTGTCAGGGAGGCTCAGTGCTACATCACCATGATAGACTTGTTTCTTGTTCTCAGATAGCACCAGCTTGGGGTGGGCTGTATCGGGATCCAGTGTTACATCCACAGCACACTGCTGAGCCCTCTGAAATTCAATCTCACACAGCCTCTTTGCCTCAGTCTTTACTGTTTCATCTAGCTGACATGCTACTGTCCTGACTTCTCTGCTCACCACACCGACATATAAAGTGTTTTCTGTGCAGGTGTCATACCAGTCTTTGGTGGTTGGCAGTGTGGACAAAGCTGGAAAGCTCATGAGAAGGTAGAGTTCGTCTTCAGTGTGTGAGAGATGCTTCAGCTCTGTACTTTTTTTCCGCAGCTCACTGATCTCCTTCTCCAGTTCCACGATGAGCCCGCTGGCCCTGTGTTCAACATGCCTCTGTTTTGCACCAATCACCTCCACCAACTCTGCTTGGCCTCTCTGGACAAGGTGGAGCAGTTTGTCAAAGACTTGCAAACTCTCCTCAATCTCTCTTTCTGTGTTTCCTCTGCTGAGCTGAACAGTTTGTTTGATCTCACTGATTTTCTGCAGTCGGCTGTCAATCATTTCTTCCACTTCTTCATTTATCCTTGCAATCTGAGCTCTCCTGTCTCTGCTCTCATCCTCTATAGGTACAGTGTGATGAGCCTTGTGGTCTTTCTTGATGCAGATCTGGCACACATACATCTGGTCAGTGTGACAGAACAGGTCCAGGAGTTTCTCATGCTTTTTGCAAACTCTGTCTAGAATGTTCATCATTGGATTAATGAGGTGATGCTTCTTGAAGGTGCTTAAAATATGATGGGGGTTCAAATGAGCATCACAGAAGGAAGCCAAACAGTCCAAGCAGGATTTAAGGGCCCTGACTCTTTTTCCAATGCACACATCACATGAAACTTCTCCTTTATGGCCTGAAGTTTGGTCCACAGTACTGGTTTCATTTTCATCTTTCTCTTCCACCGTCATTTTGAACTGAGAAGCCACCTCCGAAATGAAGGAATTAACTTTGAGCTCAGGTCTCAGGTAGAACTTCTGCTTGCACAAGGGACACTGTGACAGACTGGCACTCTGCCAATATGTGTTTATGCAGTCCCTGCAGAAGTTGTGCCCACAAGGAGTAGAGACTGGATGGTTGAACAAATCCAGACAGATGGGGCAAAGAAGCTGCTCCTTAGAAAGCAAACTGCCAGCTGTCGCCATATCTGGGAATACATCCAGAAAGAAAAGCAAGTGGGATTATACAGCAAGTGCAATTATGCAGTTGCCTCCGCTCCTTGTATATTCTTTTTCTTTCAGTTATTAAATTTAGAAACAGTTGTGCCTGGTGAGCTGTCTGTGTCCACAAATAGTAACAAATGCTCGGTGTTACATTTCACCAAATGATATTTCATTTTAGTGGACAGTTTTCATGTCCGCTGAGTTTGGCAGAAAACAATAAAAATGGACTCATTGGACATTAAAACAAAATAAAACTGTACATTAAAATACAATCTTGTCATATTAGCTATTAGTACAACAAAGTGAGCACAGTGCAGCTCTGTGTTGCTTTGCCCTTAAGTGAAGATGATATCTATATTTCCAACTGATGTGTAATTAGATTGTGATCATAAAGTATGAAAGAAATCTAAGCGATAACTCACCTTGTTTGTTTGTGGTGTAGCTCAGAGAGGAAAAGAGGGTGCTTGTGGTCCGTAAGTGTTTGTGTCTCTGCTACTTGTTGTTTCTATTTGCATAGTCACATTACACTCTCTGGTCTCATGTTGTTGATCTCTACTCGCTCCCCTCTTAAAGGCACCAGTGACTGAGATGATATATAGCTCCACTAACCTTTCCCCGTTACCTTTCCAGATCTCTTCTATTGACCTGACTTCTTGAGTGGAATAATGCCACATTTCTAGTAAATTTTCATTTCATGTGTTTTATTGTATTTGCATGTAACGAAGTAAGACAGAAATTCCCAAAATTTATCAACAGCACCACAAGATGAAAAACACTGAAAAGTAATTAAAAAAAAAAAAAGTTATCAATCAGTCTTCAATCAATCTGTTACAAGCAAAGGCAAAGCATATCTCTTTACCTTTAACCTTGTACGGGGGTCATAAGTATGTGTTGAATTCATTAAGCTGTCTGCCAACGTGTACATATATGAGCTGGGACATACAGTATGTTGTGTGGAACTGCCATTTGTATGTCTACATAGATGCAGTCTAAATACACAGACAAATTCATATGCACGTGTTCACATGGCATTTGAATATCTGAGATCTGTCCACTATATTTTCGTACTTGTTATTGTTGCATTTCAACATCATGAGCATGTGTGTCTATGTATGTGTGAGACTGTGTATGCACAAGAGACAGAGAGAGAGATTACCACGGTGAGACTACATAGTCTCTGCAAAATGTCGAGGCCCTCCTGCCTGTGGACTCCAGAGTGGATGAAGCAAAGTGGGGATTTACAATGGGAGCTGCAGTTCAGCTCAGGCTCCATGACTGGCCCCAATCTGTCTATGTTCACACACACATCCTGAGAAGCAAACAGATGATATGACAGGTATGATGACATTTGAAAGTTAAACACATAATTCTTTGTATAAAACCTTTCGTTCTCAGTTTGAACACAATAATTTCCCAGCAGGTTTTCCCAATAATGAACTGCAAAACAGGAGCTGCTGGGAAACATTTATATGAAGTCCTGCTTCTATTTCCAGGTTTCACTGAACTGTTGTAAGACCTGTTGCCACCACAGTGTGGAGCTCTCTCAGGCACCTCTGAGAAGACAAATGATAGGAGCAATTTTGTACTGCGCTGATGTTAGACCAGCAATGGGAAAAACAGAGGCACAAATAAACCCAACACACACTAAGGGTAGAATAAATTTAAGGTCTGAATTAAAATTATGTTAATTATTTCCCACCAAAAAACAAAGTGAGGAGCCATGACTCAACCTGTGTAACAAGGGGCTCGTGTGTTTCACCTTATCCACACTTTCCACAAGCACGACGTCATCGCAGATGTGAATCATTCCAACACAGGATCACACTCTTCTATGACCCACAGATGTGTGTACAAGACGAAAGTCAGGGTGAGATGAGGAAAAGATACTGCAATTGAAAGTTGCCAAAGCCAATATTTAGTTTCACTGAGGCCCACATAATCTGCAATCAGCCCAGTTGTTTAAGGAAAGTCAAACCGGTCTGCCTGTAGAGGCATTTTTATGAGGCTACCTGTGCTGCACTGACATGTTGCAGATTCTGTACTCTGACTAGTAACTACAGTAACACAAACCAAGAGTCTGATTGCTGTGAACACTGCAGTGACTCTACATATTATTAAGATGATGTACTGATACAAATTGGCAGACATTGTGAGCGTTTATATGAGTAGTGTCTTATTAGGCATCACATGTCTCATCATTGTCTTTGGACTGACTAAGATAACCTGAAGGGTTCTGGCATCAAAAACACAACTGGATTGAGACATGAGAAAGAGGCAGACAGCACAGTAATCCAACTAATGTGACATGAAGATGTTCTGTTTGAAAGGTCTTCTAGGTGTAAGCTATTAGGTGAAGCCTACAGTGAGTAACACATTTAAAAAGATTTATGGTGTCAACAGAACAATGAAGCTCTCCGAGCAGCCTATCTGGGAAATGTCTGGAGTTCCTGTTCATGTCCTCTTTGTCACTTTCTGAGTTTGGATACAGTTCTGCCTCTTCCTGCAGGAAAAGCTGACAGAGAGAGGCATTTCCTCCAGTTTTTCAAAACTCTGGCCCTATAGGTTTCGGCTTGGGAGAAAACCTGCCACCCTGCAGAGTTCAACAAAGGTCGATCAACATCCGAAATGGGGTTTACAGTGCAAAAACAGTGCCCATCCCCAGCTGAGTTAGGTTTTATGGACATGTTTTGACAGTTCAGTATAGTCATGAGGAGTGTTTTTGACATCCTTGAGGCTAAACCGTAAATAATGTTTGAGCTACCTGTGGCCTTGGATGTCTAACAGAATCTCTGTGCAGCTCAGCTTCCATTTGTTCATTTGACTTTGGGTCTCTCTTTAATTACCATTTTCTTATTTTAACTCTTGGGCCAGAGAGAGGGAGAGAGAATTCTGAGTTTAATGTGGCCTTTACTACAGATGTGTTAATTTAAAAACAGAGTTAAATCCATTTATTGTCCTGTCAGTCTTCCTTAAGAATAGAGCGGTGTAACCACAGGCGCTGACGGATATAATGCCCAGTTTAGGGGCCAAAATTGAAGCATTCCTCCTCAGTCTAATCCGTTTATAAGTTTATTCTTTAAGCTGAGCTAGAATTCAATTACTGGCACTGAAATCCCGCCTCAGCCCTGGCACACGTCATGGGCATAATAAACGGATAACCTAAATGTCAAAATGTCATCAAAAGACACTCAGGTGAGGACGCTGTTGTCTGAAACCATGTGTCCACTTCAAGCAAAGCTCGAAATCCAGCTGGTATATAAAACTTACCGTTAATTAATAGTTCACTAATTGGGAAGTTCTAGAAAACATCATTGAAACAACACGCTAAGATGACTGTTAGCCTATAGGGGATTTGTGCTAATGTTATGGAGAATTCAAATATAGACCTATCTGCCATCTTTATGCTGACCATATTAACAGCTCATATAGCTTATTAGATTGTAAAAGAGGTGCGTAAACACGTGTCCAGTCGCGGCTTAAAACGCAGCTGCAGTACGTGAATGCGGTGAAATATTAAAATTATCAATAAAGAAGTAACTACGAAACTAAAAGTAAACGAATAAAGAAAACAGACCATTAAAGAAAGGGTTAAAAGAGCACACCTCGGTCCCCAAAGCGCGCGGAGGATCCCATGGCCTTGTCCCGCTCCAGGCTCCATCGCGCAAGACTCCGCGACGTTTTAATATAAATGGAGGATAGTAAACTAGATAACATGCTCTCTATCATAGCTGCAAAGGTACCATAGCTGCACACTTGGAATGAATCCCACAAACCTATAGGCTATGTCCAGCAAACTGTCGCTCCGCTGTCCGAGAAGTTCCTATTAATACAAAGTTCACCCGAGCGCATAAGATTCATTTGAGCACTGAGGAAAGTCAGTAGGAAAGGAGAAGTGTTGGTCAGTGGAGGGAGGGGTGCTGTCTCTCTCTCTATTTGTCTCTCTCCCTCTCTCGTAAGCTTTCCAGCTCCAGCTACCCCTCAGACGGGTTTCAGAGTGTGAGGTGACCCATGTGGTGCAGGAGGGTTGTGGGTGCAACGTGTTCCAGGGGCCTCTGGGGACTGGGTGGCAAATGTGACAGGGAGGTGCACTCTGTGTCCACAGTGCAAATAAAGACATCGAATAACAGCACCTGTTTGAATGGAAAGAGAAACACATGGTCTTTATTTTGCTTTTAAAAAGCAGCCCTTTATAGGCTGGCAGAAGAGGTCAGCAGGCTGGCAAATCACCTCAAAACACAAGCCAAAGGTGCATTAAGGTGTTATTAGGACTTCATCAAGATTTACAGGGTCATTCCTGATGAGGGAGTGTCACCACTACTCACAGCTGTATGTGGGGAAACAGCGGCACAGACATTCTTTCCCCAGTATGTGGTGTTTGTTCATTGGGTTTCAATTTACTTTACTAAAATGTTGTTTAATAAGCAAATCCTTGTTTCAGTTGTGAAAAGGTGATGCTGCAACGTCTCTCCAAGCTTATAAACACAAGGTTATAGGCACTGAAACACTATGGTAACAGAAGAAAACAGGAAAACTCACAGTATAGTCAGCCAAAAGTTTCATTTTCCACTTTAGTGTAATTTTATTGTCCCCAGGGGTAAAGAAGAACCTGTGAATCCAGTATTAATGCTTTCTATCTGGATGGATTGACTTTATTTTGCACAGTGCTGTGCTTGTCAGTGTCTCATCTTTTGGTACATTTCACTGTGTATTGATAACTAACAACAATGGTGTTAAAATCTGACACAAAGCATGACAATATTGATGCCAGTTGCAGTGGTCACTTAACATGTTCCCGTATTTCAACATCACCATCTCAGAAAAGAGATACAGAGCATGACAACGGGATCTCTGTTGGCTGTCTGGCTTATCTGATAGGATCATATTAGACAGCTAGAAATCATTAAAAAAAGAATAGCTATACTAAACTATCAACATATCAGAGATGAAAAGCTCTGAGGCAAAGAGTGAACTCTAGTAAAATGTGGAACAATAGAATTCACCATTTTCACTTGAGTTAAGCTCAAATGGCAGCACATTAATGCCCCATTGAAAGACTGATTTATTGTTGCCAGCTCCGATCCACCCACAGCGTGGCCACCCCTCTCAGGTTTCCTCCAAGATCAGGTTCAAGACAGACTGCACCAGCGGCAGGTGGACTGCACTGATGCTCACATTACTGGGAGCTTGAATATTTCATCTGGGGACACAGGGCTGTTATTCACAAAGCCCGAGTCAAACAGCAAAAACTCACAGGGTGAAACAGGACACGTGCTACTGAGGCTATCAGCAAACAAGTCTAACATTAAGATGTTCTAATTACTAAATACTGGTTTGACTAACACGCCATCGTCATTTGGTCTACAACATGGTGCACATGTATTAGCAATTCCACTGAACCAACAAATAACAAGCATTAGACCAGTGAAACACCATTTCCTGTTGACCTGCCCCTGACAGGCAGCACCTCTGTTTCCTGACATGGAAGCACCTGCAGCTGTGATTCAGCATCTGACCACAGTGCCAGAGAGTCCCACCGGTTTCTAGTGCTTCAGACTGTGTGGGTAGAAATACATTGTTTTGTGTGTGAAGCCCAACACTGTCCTTCCCAGAGTCTGGATGTTCCTCTGTGACATGCCCAGGTTTGCCCACTAACATATCCAGAGACAAATTCCCCTTTGCAATGCTGCTGTGGCTCCTCCTGCCATGTTGCCATGGACTTGGATTAGCAGCACTGGATCAATGCTCCCCAGCAGGCTCTGGTCATGGCGTTTCTACTGAAGGCAGTGATTACCAAATAAATCTGTCATCAGCCTCCTCACTCTGTTTTCAAAAAGGATTTTCCAGTTTAACTGGTGAAAAAGCAGCCCAACAACTGATGTAACAAGTATAACACCTGACAATACTTCAAAAGCACAGATATGACTTGAATGACACAGTAAAAGAAGAACCCAACACAAAACATAAAATCCACTTACTAGATTTTTTCCTGGAGCTCTCAACAGACAAACACAAAAAAAGTAACTTGGGTTTTTTCCAGAGCTTTCAGCTAAATCCCCTCCTTGAACCGCCACCTTATTGAGGTGGAGGGGTTTGAGTACCCGAGTGATCCTAGGAGCTATGTTGTCGGGGGCTATATGTCCCTGGTAGGGTCTCCCAAGGCAAACAGGTCCTGGGTGATGGGTCAGACTAAAAGCGGTTCAAAAGCCCTTTATGAATAGATTAAAATCAAGGACCGTGACGTCGCCTGGCATGGCGCAGCTGGGGCCCCACCCTGGAGCCAGGCCCGGGGTTGGGGCTCGAATGCGAGCGCCTGGTGGCCGGGCCTCCCCTCACGGGGCCCGGCCGGGCTTAGCCCGAACAAGCGATGTGGGGACGTCCTCCCGTGGGCCCACCACCTGCAGGAGGATTTGTAAGGGGCTGGTGCACGGTGGATCGGGCAGCAGTCGAAGGCAGGGGCCCCGACGACCCGATCTCTGGACACGGAGACTAGCCCTGGGAACATGGAATGCCAACGCGGTGGTGGGAAAGGAGCCCAAGCTTGTGCAGGGGCTTGAGAGGTGCCGGCTAGAGATAGAGAGGGTC